GGGGGGGGGGGGGAGCTCGTCAGTCATCACACATTGGGATCCAAACACACTCTGGAAAACATAGATTTCAAAAGTGGTTGGGCTGAGCCCCAATAGCCTCCATGAATACGCCTCTGCCTAAAACTTCAGAGGCCTTTAAAAATAAACATAAAAACTTTGAATACGTTTAAACCCTATCAAACCCCCTAAAAAAACCCCGCGTTTTACCTGTATGTGACATATCTTCAAATCCGTTAGTAGATTGAGTTCATTTAGTTCAGGTCTTGACACTAACATTAACAGGAAACTAGAACAAAAATCTGTAAAATAATGCTCTCTCCGCAAATAATATTTGTTCGGTACAGCTGGCCGAAAAGCTGGACCAAATTTTGGCCAATATTTTAAGCCATGTACCCCCGAGATGAAATATACAGGGAAAGTAAAAAACAGGATTATCGATGTTTTGGACAAAAATGTTCAATTTTGTTCTCCTCGTATTTTATGAATTAAAAAATGGGATCAAAAGATATCAAAAATATTTTAGGAACGTTGGGAAGAAAATCCGCGAATAAAATTTTCAGAAAAAATTTTTGGGAAAAATGTTATCCTATTTTATTACAAAATTTCATAAAAATTTATCAAAAATTAAATTAGATATAACAAGAAATGTAAGCCAATTTTTTTTCATATTTGAAATCTAAGGTTATGATTTGATAACATTTACTGCATATTTTTGTTAAATCTCATTCAAATTTGAACGAATTTTTATAAATTTTTTTTCAATGTTCTAAAAATATTTTTGAATTTCTTTTTCACATTTTATTTGTTTATTCCTAAAATTCAAACAAAAAGCTTTAAAAATTTGGTCCACACATCATTAATCCCAGTTTTTTCTATTCACCATGCATTAGATGGGAAGGAAGGGGGGGGGGGGCATCCAGTTAAAATAAAAAAAGTCTAGTACGTTTTCTAAATTTCCGAAATAAATTATCTTTTGATACATTAGAAATCTCCAGTATCGGAGGGTAACATTTACAAAATCAGGGCAAAAATAGCAAAGACCAGGAAGTATATTTTCTTGAAAACTCATCTACCCCATCCACTCATTGAAATTTACATGTTTCTCCAAATGTTTGGTATGTTTTTTTCTTGGTAAATTCCTAGAAAACGATTTTTAGACTCCCCCCCCCCTCCTATCAATTTTGTACATAGATCTTAAAGAAAGTGTCTTAACTAACCTAACCCGTGGCCGCAGCGCTCGGCCCCCTAGCCCATCCTAGCCGTCATGTACAAAATTGATAGGAGGGGGTGGGGGGGCAAAAATCGTTTACTAGGGCAGACCCTTCTTCTTTTATTCACTGAATAAGAAAAATATAGTAATTTTTGTGTAAAGAGTATTGGAAAATTAAAAAATTTATATCAGTTCTTCCCCTGGGGAGGGAAAATTCATGAAAATAGATGAGCCTGTAGGCCGAAGGATCAAAACGCAAAAATCCTAGGAAATTACCGAAGTATTTAATTTTTAAGTGTATAAGTGAGAAAAACATCTTATACTATTTGCTATTTACTATTTAAAGGGGGGGGGGGGTATCACTTAGTGAATTTAGGTCCAAACCTCTCGATGTCAGTAAACTTTTCCATGGCACTAATCATGATCATTTCATTTAGAAGCAATGTAGATTGTAGAATCATACAGTTTTAAAACCAAACTTTTTTACGTTAACAACGTAGCACAATGTAGGACGATAACAATATGACCAATATTATGCAATTAAAATGAAGCTTAATTCCAAAGATAATAGGAAAACAATATCTCAACATGGTGAAATACTTAAAATAAAATCTTACCGAATAAAGTCGGGTTTAGCGCACCACCCAATACACAGGATCTCTCAGCAGTAAATACGCCATTGTTAACACAGGGAAATCTGAAATATAACGGGTTTAGATTGGAGTGTCAAGCTTCCGTAGTGATTAGATTCGTAATCGTGAATTGCGTTCAGAATTTTGATGGTCTGTGTTGCGAAGAGAAATCTATTGAGCGCATAGTTCCTCCGAATGCCACTGAAAGCTTTGAAAAAACAAAGGTGTAAATGTCGTCTGTGATATCAGCAATATTAAATACGGTGGTGTATTTTTCGACCTAAGCAGATCCGCTATACTACACTTCCGACCTTCTAGCACGTGGTTTTACAGCTGCTATATTGAATTGTGGCTGCAGCGCCCGGCCCCCTAGCCTGTCCTAGCCGCGGCACTCGGCCCTCTAGCCTGTCCCAGCCGCATCGCTCGCCCCAGAAATTAAGTCTTAACCTAACCTAACCCTCAAATAATACAAAAAAACAGCGGGCGTAGGTCTAATATTGTAGTATTTCGGAAAGTTAGTAGGTCGGAAGTTCAGTAGGTGGGATGTTGCGTATAGACGATGTAACATTACCTAAATATACATATGTAGAAAAATGAGAAGTTGAGATTAACAAGGCGAGTATTGAGAAGTAGGGATAAACAAGGACGGCAAGATAGTAGTCGGTATAGAAGAGAACGAGAAGAAAGGAGTAGCTGGATAAGCCAGTATACGAGTAGAGAGGAGTAGAGATAAAAATGACGAGTAGAGAGAAAAAGTAATGAACAAGGACGAGTACGTGGAGTCGAGCTTGTCTAGCTGGATAAGCAAGGACGAGCAGAAAGAAGCAGAGATAAAAGGATGAACAGCCAGGAATAGAATAAACTAAGACGATCGAGGTGAAAGTAGCATAGATAAAAGACGAACAGCAAGGAATAGAATAAACTATAAGATAATAAGGAAGAGCAGAAAGAAGCAGAGTATAATTAGGACGAATAGCCAAGAGTATAATAAACTATGACAAGTAGAGAGAAGTATAATTCACAAGGAAGAGTAGAGAGGAGTAGGATAAACAAGAACGAGTAGCGAGGCGTAGGATAAACAAAAAAGCTTGTACAGAGGATTAGGGATACAAAAGGACGAGTAGAGAAGAGTAGGATAAACTAGGACAAGAAGAGTGTAGTAGTATTAACAAGAACTAGTATAGATCGAGTACTGCAGAGTAGGGCTAGGCACGTTTAAACTTTTTAAAGCCATTTCGGTAACGGTTTGTTCCGACCATTTTTAAAATAAAATCTCAGGTAGACGTTAGTCCTAGAGGGTATAAGAATGAAACTTTGTTTCGTCAACGGTGTTTTCCGTTTTTTTTTTAAGTTTCCGTTTGTTAACTATCTCAATGTTATTAACTGCGAATTATAACGGAAAATTTCCAACAGTTATTACAGAATTAACGGCGCAAAATTTTTGTTTACTGTCTATTGCAGAATTAAAGGCGAATTTTTTTTTATTTAGACATCTAAAAACATCAAAACATGTAAAAAAATTCTTTTAAAGTGTTACGCAATTAAGAAAAGAAAAAAACGAAATTCACTTTTAAAATCTTTTTAACCGTTATTTATTTCAAAAACGGCTAATCTGTTTTGTTAAGAATTAAAAATTAACGGTGTTTTCTGTTCGTTTACGTACTCTTCCGTTTGTTTTCGAAAAACTCCGTTTTGTTAACAGAACTTTGCCCAGCCCTAGAGAGGAGTAGGATAAACAAGATCGAGTAGAGAGGAGTGGGGATACAAAAGGACGAGTTAATAGAAGTAGGATATACTTGGCCGAGTTAGAGGAGTAGCTGATAAACTAGGACGAGTAGAGAGGAGTAGGATATACTAGGACGAGTAGAGTGTAGTAAGATAAACTAGGACAAGTAGAGAGGAGTAGGATAAACTAGGACGAGTAGAGTGGAGTAGGATTAACTTTGACGAGTAGAGTGGAGTAGGATAAACTAGGACGAGTAGAGTGGAGTAGGATAAACTATAGGACGAGTAGATAAGAGTAGGATAATTACTAGGACAAGTAGAGAGGAATAAGATAAACTAGGACGAGTAGAGTGGAGTAGGATAAACTAGGACGAATAGAGAGTAGTAGCATAAACAGGACGAGAAGAGTGGAGTAGGATTAACAATGACGAGTAGAGTGGAGTAGGATAAACTAGGACGAGTAGAGTGAAGTAGGATAAACTAGGACGAGTAGAGAGGAGTAGGATAAACTAGGACGAGTAGAGTGAAGTAGGATAAACTAGGACAAGTAGAGAGGAGTAGGATAAACTAGTTCGAGGAGATAGGAGTAGGATAAACTAGGACGAGGAGATAGGAGTAGGATCAACAATAACGATTACAGAGGAGTAGGATAAACTAGAACGATTAGAATGGAGTTGGATAAACTAGGACGAGTAGAGTGGAGTAGGATAAACTAGGACGAGTAGAGAGGAGTAGGATAAACTAGGACGAGTAGAGTGAAGTAGGATAAACTAGGACGATTAAAGAAGAGTAGGATAAACTAGGACGATTAGAGAGGAGTAGGATAAACTAGAGGACGTGTAGAGTCAAGTAAAATAAACTAGGACGAGTTGAGTGGAGTAGGATAAACTAGGACAAGTAGAGAGGAGTAGGATAAACTAGGACGAGTAGAGAAGAGTAGGATAAACTAGGACGAGGAGATAGGAGTACGATAAACTAGGACGAGGACATAGGAGTAGGATCAACAATAACGATTACAGAGGAGTAGGATAAACTAGAAAGATTAGAATGGAGGAGGATAAACTAGAACGAGTAGAGTGAAGTGGGATAAACTAGGACGAGTAGAGAGGAGTAGGTTAAACTAGGACGAGTAGAGAGGAGTAGGATAAACTAGAACGAGTAGAGTGAAGTAGGATATAAAAATGTTATAAAGTTCTATGTAAATTAATTTTTTTTCAAAATACAATTTTAGAATTTTAAATTTTTTTTTAGAATTTAATTTCCTTTTTTAATTTTTTTTTTACTATTTTCACCCTTTTTACAATTTCTAGAGAGGGGAAGAGCGCCCTAGTTGCACCCTTAGCAATACAACAACGACATTTATAACTTTGATTGTTTAAATTATTATGATTAATAGAGAATTAAATCGATCATTTTATTAAAAAAATATGTAAACTAAATACATAGATTTTTTATTTTGGTTACTACTGTATGATTCCTATGTTTTCATTATTCAAAATTTATTTATTGCCTTGAAAAGCAGATTCTATTCAGGCTGATGCAGTTTTTGGGACATTCTTGGTTTTATGTTTCCGTAAAATGCATAAAATTGAATTTTTGGTTTAAAATACACAAAAGGTAGGTTTGGGTTCTATAATATAAACCATTACAAGGAGTATATAAATGCATCACGTTTTCATAGAATTCAAACTATTTACTGTTCATGTAACAATCTAAAGACAGACTTTAAAGGGACTGTAAGAGTTGTTTCAATTGAACCTCAATCCAAAGATGATGACAATTCCCGATTTGCCACAGTACCCTTGAAACCTTCATCGAATCAAAAATGTGGAAAATATCGTCATTTAAAGTGTTTATTATTTTTTTTAAGTAAATATTTGCAAATGATCTTTTTCCATCTCATAATCGAGTTCGTTTCCCTTATGTCCATTTGACAGCCCAAATTTTTATTTTGAATAATCTTTTTTGTTTGTTTATTTTCTTGTGATTTTTAACAAACATTTTTTATATTTTTTTTTTATCGATTTTGATGGTTATTATATCGTTAGAACTGACGAGGGTCAACCTAGACCGAAATATATTTTCAATAAATGTATAACTAACATATACTTTTTTACTCTACAGAGGTTTGGTCCATCACCATCACCGAATTTTGAGTTTCTCCATTGTGTAATGTGCATGTCACTTTTGCAGAGAAACCACAAATATGATTAATACATATTTTATAGGATTCTTAGGTTTCTAACTGGAGTGAGTAAAAAGTAAAATATAATAAAGTTGGGAATTGAAAAATAAATTGAAACTTTTTTTTCAACTACCTCACTACCACCGACAAGTTGAAACTTTTTTATCAACATTTATTCAATAATTTATTTTTCAATTTGCCACTACCCTCACTACCTCCGACTTTTTAAAATCTATATATCAACATTTTTTTCAAAATTTTTTTTTTATTTTAAACTACCCTCACTACCACCGACAAGTTGAAACTTTTTTTCAACATTTATTCAATAATTTATTTTTCAATTCCCCACTACCCTAACTACCACTGACAAGTTGAAACTTTTTTTATCAACATTTTTTAAATGAAAAACTACCCTCCTTTCCACTGACTTTTCAAAATCTTAATTTCAACATTTATTATTTTTTTTCATTTTCAAACTACCGTAACTTCCAAGACAAAAAAACTTAAGCAAGTCTTAAAGAAAAAAAGAGGCAATTTAAAGATTTTTAAAGTTGAATTTTTTGCTAAATATATTTTTTTTATCATGATTTTACAAAAAAATCTTATACTTTTATAAGTAAAGTATCTGCTTACATACCTATGTTTATAAAAAATTCACCTATTTTTCAGCAAAAAAAGGCATTTTATACGTTCACGGGGTCGAATGCGTATCCCATCGTTTGTGCTTTCTCTTTTGTAGCAGTTGATAAATGTTGCGATTAATGAGGTACATATAATGCTTTTCTTTTAGTATTTATATATTTGTAAAGAAAGAAGATTTATTGATAGATAGATAAATAGATAAATAAAAGGCAAGCTGGTGCTGCAAAGCTGTTAACCTTTAACTGCAGTGTTTTACTGCAAGTGCAGCTGTTTACAATGGGTCAAGTAAAGATGCAATTTATTTTTTTTAAATCTTTTAGCTCTGCCTTGAAA